TGGTTGATGTAATCATCAACAGGACCTAGAATTACCTAGGAGACAAGCCTCTAAACATAGTTGCGAAGGATTCTCCCTCTAGGTTCAGTTAATTGACATGAAAAGACACCTTAAGTGTGGGCAACACCATTCCATGGCCTGGACTTCCCAGAATACATAACAAAGAAAGGAAGGAAGGAAGGAAGGAGGGAGGGAGGGAGGGAGGGAGGGAGGGAGGGAGGGAGGGAAGAAAGAAAGAAAGAAAGAAAGAAAGAAAGAAAGAAAGAAAGAAAGAAAGAAAGAAAGAAAGGAAATTAACTTCCAAACTCATCAATTCATCTGTGTCCTAACTGTGTGCACCGTGCTCCCGCTGCCTCACCATGCTCCCACTGCCTCACCATGCTCCTATTGCCTCACCGTGCTCCTGCTGTCTCATTGTGCTCCCACTGCCATGCTTTCTTCACTAGGATAGGCTATGTCCATAGGCCAAAATAAACTTTTCTTCCTTAAGTTTCTTTTGTGGGATATTTCATCACCGTGTCTCAGTCACCGTTCTATTGCTGTGAAGAGACACCATGACCAAGGTAACTCTTAAAAAGAAAGCATTTAATTCAGGGATTGCTGACAGTTTCAGAGATTTAGTCCATCATTATCAAGGAGCATGGCAGCACTCATGGTGTTGCAGGCAGTAGCTAAGAAGTACATCCTGATCTGCAAGCTGAGAGAGAGAGAGAGAGAGAGAGAGAGAGAGAGAGAGAGAGAGAGAGAGAGAGAGAGAGAGAGAGAGAACACCTGGCCTGGCATGTACTTTTGAAACCTCAAAGCCCAACCTCAATGACACACTTTCTCCAACAAGGCCACACCTACTTCAACAAGGCCACACCTCCCAATCCTTCTAATCCTTTCAAATAGTGCTGCTCCCTAGTGAGCAAGCATTCAAACATATGAGCTTATGGAGGCCATTCCTATTAAAAGAAAAAAAACCACCACATACAACAATGAGAAAAGCAACAAATATATAATCTTAAAATAGGATGAAGAACCTGATTGTCACAGCAGTTATAGAGCCAAGTATGGTGGACAACACCTGTAATCCCAGCACTTTCGAGGTTGAGGCAGGTGTGTCTGGAGTTCAAAGACATCTTTACACAGTGAGTTCAAGGCTACCTTGGGCCACATGAGATCCTGTCTCAAATGTTAAAAAAAAAAAATCAAGGCATTGGATGGAATTCAAACACGAAAATCAACACAGGTAATAAAGCATAGAGCTTACCATTCACACTAGCATAAGTAAAACAAGAAATCTTGAGTGTTCTGAGTGCGTTTTTCAGTGTCAATAACCTGACTGGCATTTTATACAAAACTGGGCATTCTATGCAGGGATCTCTCGGTATCGTTTCTTATACTCCATTTATTTTTTTCATTGTTTTCCTTTATTTTTGTAAATTTCATACATACGTACAATGAAAAGTGATCCTATCAGCCTCCACCCATCTTTAATCTCCTCATGTTTGGAGGCAAACATGCCCCTTCCCAACTTCATGCCCTTTTTTATAACCCACTAAAATCCAGTTATTGCTGCCTACATATACACACCTCCACCGGAGCTTGGGAAACCTATTCTTGACCACATCCTCAACAGGAAATGGCTCTCTCTCCCCTGTTTTCCTTAATTAATATTCTTTAAAGAGGGAGCAGCCGGGCGGTGGTGGCGCACGCCTTTAATCCCAGCACTCGGGAGGCAGAGCCAGGCGGATCTCTGTGAGTTCGAGGCCAGCCTGGTCTCCAAAGCGAGTTCCAGGAAAGGCGCAAAGCTACACAGAGAAACCCTGTCTCGAAAAACCAAAAAAAAAAAAAAAAAGAGGGAGCAAGTGATGGAGATGAAGACCAATTTTACAGAAGCAAAGTTGTGTTGATCAGGGCTGGGAGATGGCTCATTTGACAGTGTCCTTATCGCAAAAGCTTTGAGGATCTGAGTTTAACCTTTAGCGCCCATGTAAAAATCCGGGCACAGCAGCATACACCTGCAATCCCAGATTCAGGAGGGCAGAGACAGAAAGACCCCTGGGAGTGACTGACCAGCCAGTCTAGCCGAATCAACGAGCACCAGGTTCTGTGAGAAACGCTGCCTCAACAAATAAATGAGATGGAGAGTAAGGAAGATATCCTATATTAACTGCTGGCCTCAACATACATGTACACACACGGACACACATGCTCGAGCACACCTATGCCCACACATACACATAAAAAATTGAATTAACGCATCCAAGTTTAGTAAGCAAAAATATAAAATCACTGTGCCATTAAAATAGTCAAATCATTTTGCTATTAAAAGAAATCATTGTCATTCTGTCCTTCCAATGGTGCAGTATAGTTTGTTTTTTTAAAAAAATTTACTTTCATATATTTCCATTTTTGAAAAGATCATAACTTTTACAGGGGTGCTGGCAACATGCTAATATGAATGTGACTCTAAAAAAACATCAAGTTGGATCAGGGGTTTCATTCCATTTACAATGCTAAAACAAACCTTCAAAGGCACAAGGCCCTTCCTCGCCCTGGACAAGGCAACCCATGCGTGTGCCGTTTTTTGTTTCAGTTATCCTAAGAAAACACATTACTTAAGAAAAACAGGAAACCGCCAGGCATGGTGGCGCATGCCTTTAGTCCCAGCACTCTGGAGGCAGAGGCAGGAGGATCTCTGAGTTCAAGGCAGTCGGTTTACACAGTGAGATTCTGTCTCAAAAAAAAAAAAAAAAGAATGAAAGAAAAGAAAAGAAAAAAGAAAAGCAGAAAACCTTCACCAAAGAAAAATAAAAGGGAATATCTCAATCTGAGATGCTCTCTCGCACCCCACATAGTAAGCACTTTGCTTCATGCACCAGCCAGACAAAATGATGTCATCTGTAGTGACACAAACAGATAAGAAATCTGTTGCATGCTCTTTCATTTTAAAGTTCAGACAACTCAGTACCATGTTGGGATGCTCACCAGTGCCCTAAAAGTTATAATTTAATATATTTTATTTGTATTCAGCATACTTAATTTAATAATTTAATTCAACTAAATACAATTTTAATGAAGCTGTAGACACATCAGCATAAGTGTTAAGAAACAGAAGCATTAAAAGGAAACAAATCAGACCCTGCTCACAGACCACATGCTTGGGTGGGGGGGAAGCACGGTGCAAATGCGGTCACCAAACCACATGATTGTCGGGGGAAAGCATGGTGTAGATGAGAACTAATGGGTTCACCAAACTTGCTGGCTGTGAGATACAGACAGAGGTGCAGAGCCCATGCTAGGCTCTGTGAACTCAGTTCTAGACAGACAGATAGGACAGCCCATGGATGCAAATATGAGAAGCTAAAGGTCTTGAAAGAAAGTTGAGTCTGCGTGATGTGTTCAGATTGAAGAAGCATCTCCCACGGCACTGGTCTAGACTCCTTGTGGGCCCAGGCTCCTGACTCTGGTTCTTTTGCTCTCTCCCACAACACACCACAGCCACCACCTGTGCAGACTAGCCTTAGAAGCCACTGGTGCTCAAAAGCACTGCATGGAAAAGTAAAGTGGAGTATTGGGTGGTGGAACAGAGAGAGAGACAGACAGACAGAGAGAGAGAGAGAGAGAGGGAGAGAGAGAGAGAGAGAGAGAGAGACAGAGACAGAGACAGAGAGACAGAGAGACAGAGAGACAGAGAGAGGGAAGGAGGGAGGGAGGGAGGGAGGGAGAGAAAGAGGGAAAGAGAGAGAGAGAGAGAGAGAGAGAGAGCCCTGGATTTGACTCCCAGAACTAAGAAAAAAAGAAAAGGAAAATGAATGTGTCTTCAGAACTAGAATAAATTGTTATAATTACCCCAATTCTACTTAAAATTATAAATTTTATTTATTTTAAAAGTCAAGCAGCATGGAGAGGCAGTATTATAATTCACAGATGCAAACACTCTTGAAAACACTAGAATCAGGTTAGGAAAATACTAAGAATTTTTGCAGTAACAATGTCTTCTTAATGAGATTTAGCTTTCTGACCAAGAATAAGTGATAATCCAGAATATCCAAGAAGTATATTGAGAAGTCAACTGTTGTCCAGTGAGTCTCATTAATGTCAGATAACATATGATGAAATAATTGAACTTTAACAACTTCAGGGAGAAATCCAAACAAATCAACACTGTCCCTGAGTTTTCAAATCTTAAAGTTAGTATGGACCATTAGGTAAAATAGTACATAAATTGCCTTTATATTTTCATTATTGTCAGGGAAGGGAAGACAGACCAGCATGCCCACCCCAGGCCACTAACTCAAAAGTCCTCTACTCGTCCTGTTCTGAGAAAGAGTTTGCCTTTATGACACTGTGGACATCTCAGAAACATAACTGAAAGTGCCAAAGGCTGCCCAAACAACAGCACCCAGGGAGGGGCTGGACCCTTAGCCCAGGACCAAGCATCTTTAAGATGAATTAGTAACAAGAACACTACTGGAGTGGGAAGACCTAGAACACCCAAGTAGGAAGCAGCTTGCCGCAGAAGAAAAAAACTCCACTGCCCTGCAGGAGACATGAGCAAACCAACCAAGAAGAGGACACGGATTGTCCAAAGAAAGAGCCTGCAAAACCTAAAATATCTCTGCCACCAATGCTTGGACAAATTAGCCGGGCAAAACTTGGGCATCCCTTCAACCGCCTCCTCCCAATACCCTTCTTGCTTAGTAAATGCCGGGAGTCCACAGACACCCGGCTCTGCATTACAGGTTCCCAGGAAAAGGCCGTTTTCCATCCTGCAGCTGTTGCAAAGAGGTGTAAGTGAGTGACAGGAACGATGATGGGATGGAGGGGAGCGGGGGGGAGGGGGGGCAGGGGGAAGTGGCCAGGAAAGAAACACACACAGAAGGCAACAGTGGCATTCAGACTTGAACTCGGAATTTTTGAATGGCTCAGAATGGGATACTTTGTCACCTCTGGTTTAATTAGAAGCTTGTTTGCAGGATGCTGAAGGGCGAGGCTCATAATCAAGCACTTACGTAATCCTCCTCATTGAGTCCTTGTTTCTCAACAGAACTTTTCACCTCCATGGAAAACTTCTCAAACTCAGGTTTCACGGTCCTCAGTAGGGTGACTGTTTGCAGGGATGAGTAGGCTTGCTTAGCTTCAAAGTCGTGTTTGTCTCCTCTCTTCCACGAGCCATCTCCTACGGGAGAAATGAAAATATTTATAATTCCAAGCCAGTCACTATAAAGAGGCCATTCTCTCTTCTCAACTGCAATGTGTCCCTACATGGTACTTTTGACAGCTGAGGCAAGAGGTATTGTCATAGTTTTGCACTTAGGTGTAATGTGACAATGTCAAAATCATTAAAGGAGAAGGAGTCTCTGTGGACACATGTTCCTTTGAAATGTGAGAGAGACAGACAAGCTCTGTTGATGTAATTGTCTTAGAATAACTATGGAACTGCAATTGTCAGCCCCCACCCCACTTCACCCCATCCCCGGAACTGCAGAAGCAAAAGGAAAGTTTTGGTTCCTTTCCATCCATACATACTTTCAATCCCTACAATCCATTATGGAGGTGAACTAAGTCTATTATTATGCTGTTCAGACCCGGAATGACAGGTTACAGTAAAGCATGAGGATGGATTGCATGCAAACTAAGTTAGGACTGTTCAACTGCTTTCATCGCTCTGGGATGAAAAGTGGCTTGCGTGGACTTGAGGGTTTATATCTGTATGGTATTGGCGGCATCACCAAAATTACTCATGAGACAACGCTAAATCAGTGTGTAAAGTACAATGAGTATTTTGAGCATAAATAATAATAGATAGATGATTGATGATAGATAGTTAATAGAGACATACATACACACATAAATACATAGATGATGGATAGATAATAGATATCTTAAACACTTTTTATGCATAAACTCAATCCTCATGATATCCTTCCTACATGACAGACAAGGAAACTGAGGCACAGAGACACTGAGCAGCCTGTTGCTTCACAGCTCCCGCCTCACAAAAGGGAATACTAATCACCTGGGTAAGTATCCTTCTCTTCTCTTGATTTCATCCTTGCGGCTTGAAGACAGTGTAGACCTCTATCTTATGATAAAAGCTTCTCTTCGAATGAATCATCATTATAAACCCTGGAGCTCTCTGAAGACAGGACTGCAGCCTGATATAGTACCATAAAAGTTAACTGTACACCTCAAGCCCCAGTCTGTGAAGATGGCTCGAACCTCACAGCTCAATGCCAATGAGATCTCTGGGACCTCTGGGCATGTGGACAGGTCTGTAGTACTCACTCTACAGTTCCAGAAGGTCAGTGAAGAACGAATGACTCTGGGATCTCACCTCAGCTTGAGCCATATACATCCGAACTGTGTGCATGGTACATGCATAACTCTGCAATAGCCAGAGACAACATCGTAAAAAGTTTCCACCAAATTTAAGAGATTTGAACCAAGTAAACAACCAAATAGCACACTATAAGAGTGGGGAACAGAAAAACAAAGCAGAGAAAAGAGACAATGAGCTCCAGCCAGGAGCCATCTCATATGAAGACAAGGAATTAGTCCAGTCCTAAATGTGTAAATAGGATTTTAATAGGTGGAGAAGAAAGTGGAAAGGCGTGTCTGGCAGAACCCACACCACCAGACAAAGGTGCAAACGTGTATAGCATCCAGCAGGCAGTGGGTGGAAGATGGATCTCAGTCTAGAAGATGAGAAAAGGCAGAAGTGGAGAATGTGTTTGTGGAAGCTCTCTGTTTCATCAGAGTTCTAATAATAGCAACCATTTATTCATTGCTTACTACTAACCAGTGGGGAGCTACTAAAAGATAAATAAGACAGAGCTGAGAACTTAGTGTGTTAAAGACTAAATCTGTGTTCAATGACCATAAAACTAAATCTCAAGCCACCAAACTAAATTTGACAAAAGTCATCCTCCCTCTTCCTCCTCTACTTCCTCCTCCTCTTCCTCTTCTGCAATCTCTCCCAAACCCTTAGGAGACCACAGCCTAAAAGAAGTAATGCCTGGCATTGGAGCCAGTGAGCTGTGTTCTCTGTCAAATGCAAGGGAACCCGAAAGAGTTCTCAGTCCCCAAGACCCAGACAACATAGCAGTCGCTGTCCATGGAAGACCCCAAATTCCAAGAGTTCCTATGGAGGGACCTACTTCCTATAGACATAAAATAAGCAATAATTAAATAATTCTCTTGTTTTCAATTTTATTTATTTTTAGTTATGTGTATGTTTGCCTACTTGTCCATAGATGCAACACACACACACACACACACATATATATACATATATACATACATATATATATATATGTATATATATATGCCTGCAGAGGACAAAAGAGGGCATTGGATTGGATCTCCCCAAACTGGAGTTACAGGGGATGGTTGAACTGCCAAATATGGATGCTGAGACCCTAACTCAGATCCTCTACAAGAGCAGTACACACTCTTAACTGCTGAGCCATCTCTCTAGGCCCTATTGGCTCATTTTTAATTGAATCAACGTGTCAAGACTCTGTTGAAGCTGGTATACAACATATGCTACTTCCCTATGGTACATGAGTGCCTGAATTTGATCCCCAGACTAGGTTTAAGAGGGCATAAGTAGGGGTGTTTATAAGTACTGATTTTCCTAGACAAAGAAAATTATAGTTTTCATCAATGGAGAAGAGTTCAGTTTTCTCCAGGGACTTAAGGGAAATTCTTAACCTTGTGGGGGTCTTAGGCTATGTTAGAAAATATGTGCAGAATTATAATAGCAATTATCTCAGTAAATGGAACAGAAAGAACATATGTTTCAAAAATAAGTGAAGTCCAGTCTAATAATGTCAGCAAACATGACCTAAAATATAATAACTTTGGAGTTTTATTTTCTAGAAAAAAAATAGAAATTATAATGCTGAATAAATTCAAACCAACCTAAGCGGGTGTGTGTTCACAACCATAATTTCTTCAGTGAGCTCTTCTCCCACACCCTGAGGAAAGTAAAGATTGATTTGGTGTGGTGTCCTATCAGTGGAGACAAATTTAATTCAGCAGACAACTAGGTGCCTCTGGAGATTTATGAGCGGAACAGAAGAATGACAGGATGAGGACCATGCCTTAGGAAATAGCAGTGGATTAGATAAATAAATAAATAGGATTAGTGTGGGGAGCCACTGAGCATTCGCAGCCACAGTAATCCAAGCACGAGGGTAAGAGAGGTCATGTGTGGCAAGTCACAGGCCGGAAACACAAAACTGGCCTCTAGGAGGTCAAGCTCACTAAGAAGTTTCCTTTTGTTTTCTCTTTCTTTCTTTCTTCCTTTCTTTCTTTCTTTTTCTTTTATTTTCTTTTTTTGGCATTTTTGATATGTTAGTAAATTTTTTTCAAAAGTAAGTATTTTTCTGCTTTTATAATCATGAAAAGAGATAGAACCCAAGAGAATGAAAACAAGACAGCTGTACAAGAGGAATCCCAAACTCTACGATGTTTAAGGAGGGGTGGTCAACAGAGAGGGAGTTCCGGCAAAGGGAAGAAGAAAACCAGTCATCCTTAGAAGAAAAAGGCCGAGTGACGTAGAGGAGGAGGGGAAGAAATGATGGTGTGTGTTAGTGTCACTGAAGAATGCCCAAAGGATACTGCCAGGCTAAGCTTAGAAACAGCTCTGAAGCCAGAGAGAGGATGGGCTAGAAAAGGCTCTGGGTGCCATTTCTACACAGACCAGGGTTGGTGCCCAGGGGCTGTCTGCCCTAAAGAAGAAGGTACAGGCAGAAGATGAGAGGGCTGAGCACACACTGCTGTCAGTGAACAGAAATAGGAGATAAAGAGGCACTAACAGAACCAGGAAATGAACAGTGGTCTCAAAGCCGGGAGCATAAGATTTCCAGAAAGGAGTAGCTAAAAACCATCTGGGGCTGCCCTAGAGCTAGGTCATCTCACATAGCAGCCACCAGCTGCATGTGTTACTGTTTAAATTCAAATTAACTGAAAATTCAATTCCTTCATCACATTTGCCACATTTCAAGTATTCAACAGTCAGCCGCATGTGGGATGTAACCAGTGGCTACCCAGGCAACACAAGATAGAATGTAGCTAGCCCAGTATGGCAGTGTATACCTACAATGCTGGGACTTAACAAGCTGAGTTAGAGGATGACAGCTTTGAGGCCAATCTGGGCAACTAAGCAAGATCATGTACCAAAAATGGGAGGAATGGAACAAGACAGGACAGGAAAGAGAGGAAGAGAAAAAAAAGAGGAGAGAGAGAGAGAGAGAGAGAGAGAGAGAGAGAGAGAGAGAGAGAGAGAGAGAGAGGGAGGGAGGGAAGGGAGGGAGGGAGAGAGAGGAGGGAATGGAAGCGAAGGGAGGGAGGAAGGGAAGAAGGGACGAAGGGAAGAAGGAAGGAAGGAAGGAAGGACAGAGGAGAATACCATCCCAATGAAATATATCAATGGAACAGGAAGTTGCATTAAACAGCACTGTTTGGAGGCATGTCCCTCACCAAGGCTAAGAAATCTGTCAATAAAGCTACTGGTGACCCTGAAGGAACAACTTTCAGAGAGCAGTATGCATTGATATTTTTTTAAATTACATGCATATCAATGGTTATTTAATTACCAACTGTCAATGAAGTCTCAATCAGAGATTGTCTAGATTAGTTTCCCCATGTCTGGGGTATATTATCTTGATTAGTAGAAACACTCAGCCACTGCAGGTGGCATCACTACCTGGACAGGGGGTTCTGGATTGTGTAAGAGTGAGGGCTGAACATTAGCACGTATCCATCAGCTCATTGTTCTTTGCTCTTGACTGTGAATGTAATGACTAACTACTTTTAAATTCCTGTCTCTTTGACTTCCCAAAAATGTCAGGGTATTTTATCACAGCAAAAGGAAACAAAATTGTGTGTCTGTCTATGTGACCATAGGTATTCATGCACGTCGGTGCACACCTGCATATGCGTGAAGACCAGAAAAGGATATCAAAACCCTCAGAACTGGAATTACAGGTATATGACATGTGAGTGCTGGGCTCTAAATTCCAATCCTCATGATTGGGTAGCAAGGGCTTTTAAACCCTGAGCCATCTCTTCAGTCCCAAGTGTAGCATTTTCACAACTGTCCTAACCAAGGAATTAATAAGAAGAAAAAGAAGTCTGATCCTGAGAAGTAGGGTAGAAAAGAGGAGGGTT